AAGGAGAGGTGTTGTTCGGCGCTTCCTAAGTTTGTTTTCAACGGGACTCAGTTTGAAGTTTAGGTTTTTGTGAACGTTCTTGTCTACCCGAACAGAAGATGCTGCGATTACCTGATGTCGTTAGTGTAATTACATTACACAATTACATAGTGTCATTTGTGTTAATTAAAAATTTTAATTTTTGTGAACTGTGTACGGATATCTTTTGATATTTCTGTTCCCGGAAAAGTAATGTCAGTAGTTAAGTCATAATTTAAGTCTATTTGTATATAATAATTGTTTGTGTTTTTGTACCATTTTCCTTTTGTGTGTTAAGATTAAACCGCACTTCTGTAATTTTAAATTATTTGCAATTTTTAAGGGAAACGGCAAAACTCACTTGATTTGGTTAAGTTGCTAGAGTGAAATCTTTATTTATCCACCAATGTGCGTAGCAGTGTTTACGAACCCAGTAAGTATTGAGTTTCATGTTAGTTCGGCAAGATGTGTAGTAAATTAAAAATGTTTAAAAAATAATTGTTAAAATACGGCAAGTGAATTTTGTGTTAAGAGAGTTGTTTTGGCGTTTTGAGGTCATTTCATCGACCAATAACGGGTTGAGAATGTCATCTATTTCAATAAATAGTGGTCCTGAAATTCTGCGTGACATTTACACATTTTTTACCTTTCTGTGGGTCACACTGGGTAACCAGGTGAGTTACACACCATAACAGGTACCTAAAAAATAGTATATTATCAACCAACCAATCATTTTATTTTCCATATAGACTACACAAGAGTATAGGAACGTAGGCACGCGGTCTAAACTGGACAGATCCGCTTGCCCAGGGCTTGACTCGCCCGGTATCCGAGAGGCACCGTTATCTACACTGCACCCCAGTGCCACCGTTATTGACATGCAGTCGTCGGCACGGTCGCTAACACCTTGACTTGTTAGGTTGGTCCTCGGTGACGACCTTCGTCACTACCAATCTGGGTATTATCCCCGACCAACCACTTATAAACGTCACTAACCACATCGAAACACAAGTCACTCTACGATCATTCAGGTGTCTGTATGGGTGTCTCCCTATCCGCCATCCAGTAGGGATGCGTGTCTCCACCGCACGGGAGCAGTTCCGATTAACAAATGATAACATTCTATTTACAGTTTGACATTGATAAGGTAACATTATTTGTGCTAAAAGGTGGTAGTGGCCTAACTATCACTGGGAAACTAAGTGCAAAGCACAGTGGCCCTACATTTTCAAGGGAGCCCTATTTTATCCTTTTGTTAGATGAGATCGAGACGACAAGTGACCACTACCTTTAAAAGAACGTTACTCATCTTCATTATTCAAGAAAGCAAATTTTCCTCTTTGGAATAGTGCTTGCTTTTTGAATTTCGTTGACATACACACATGGATGAAGCATTGAGGTAATGCGTTTTGGCTATTTACTCAATCCTTGTTCGCCTATGAAGCGGCGGATATAACCGATCCATTGGATAATAAGAAGCCTCGTATAGGCAGACGGGCAAACACAGATAGGTCAGGGAAAATACTGATTTCAAATAGATTTAGTCTTCCCATTGATTATACCTGTACTTAAAAGTACATCAAAGGCGAAATCTGTACAGGGTGGTTCAAATTCATCGCTCTTCATTGTGATCTTCGTAACGGTAAGACATACAGAGTAGGTTAAACGGGGTTAAAGTTGATCATTTTTGTTACAAAAAAAACGCATTTGACATTTTTAAAAAATCTTTGATCTTTGACTAACTGAGATATCGAAAAACTGGAAATGTTTCTTTTTCCTCTTCCCTAGCCTAAACGTTCGGAAACGGAGTGTTCCTGCTGCATCTTCTATGGGCACCTTTTTGGGAGAATCTGAATCTGTTATTAGAATTTCCATACCACGCTAGATGTAGATTGTAGAAGCTACAGACTACTACTTTCTTATTTCTTACGGACGCCATATTGGATTTTTACGGAATGAGACATGTTGATTCAGCAAGATCTAGTTATCCGTGGATGTTTTGTTGAGAAATGAATGTAAAACATTTGATTTTGAAGTTTATCTTGTAAATTTATGTAAAAGTAGGTATACCTAGAGTTTGACACGTTACTATTTTTCATTTTTTTGTTCTCTTATTCCCAAAAAATTCATTATGGCGCCGACAAGAAATAAGAAAGCAGTAGCCTGTAGCTTAAACCTCTAGCGTGCTACTGATGATAATTCTGATTCTCCGAAACAATAAAGTGTCCATAGAAGAGGCTATCCGACCGTTTAAGCTAGGGAAAATGAAAACGTAATTTGAGATTTTCAGTTTTTCGGAGAAATTCCGTTATTTTCAAAGGTTTTTCAAAAATTTGCAATCCGTTTTTTAAGTCACAAAAAACGCACAGAATAAGTACGGGTATTTAAATAGTTTCGATTTGCAGTATTTAAACACTTCAGAATACCTGCAGAATAGTTTTTCTCCAGCCGTACAAAGATGGAATGTAATGTGACGTTATGCAACAGCTTTTGTTCAAGGATATAGACTATAGAGTATATACTTTTTTCTTAGACACAAAAGTTTACAACATTGTATGCAAAATACGTTTATGTTTAATATGTATTTAGATATACCTAGTGTTATATAAAGATGTAGAAACTGTCATAAAAAGTGCCATTTTTGAGCATTTGTAGGGTGCAAATCATGCAACATGTTCGTGTCGCTACTAGTATCAAATTCCAAATATCGAATTGACATTTGTCATAGGTGCTACTTAAGTTAGCTAAAATTTGTAACGCTTTTTATAGGGTAATGCAGATATATTCCTAAATGAGTCTGTAATGTACAAATTTCAAATTGAGTTCGCACGTAGGTAATAGGGTGCAGCTTCTAATGTTTGCACAAAACCGTGTGATTAAGTTTTTTTACCTATCATTGATTGAGAGAAGGCAAAACTCCGGTATTGTAATGTAGTAGCTTACTAACTTGCTCCTACATATTCATCATTATAACGCGCCATCACGAAGTTTTGTATGACATGAATGACAAGCAAATTTTAACAAGTGGCACGACGCATGAATGACAGTAGGAATGGCCGCAAGTGTTGGGTTTACCCTGACAGTGGCAATGACTGGCATTTCTGTCTCATTTCTGAAGGCTAAAAACGATATCTATGCCATCAGATCTTTTACTTCTACCATCCAAGGATATCAGTTGGATTTTGTTATATTCATATAATCATAATAGTTTGAATAGATACTATCAAACGTCAATACTACTACTCGCACTACGTTATTAGATCTATAAAGAAGAATATTTCTGTATCGAGATTAGTGTTCTGATAATTTGTGTGGTCTTCAGTATTATTCATACTAAAGATACCATAAACATGCTTGCTGTAATCTTGATGGTTTGTGCCAGTTAATGAATCAAGAACACGTGTACGTTTGCTTTATGAATACTGTGATTAATATTTACACAAGAAACTGAGTATTAGTACCTTTGACGAAAGAAGGGCAGTGAAAGTTAACTTTTCATTGTTAGAGAGTGACCAATTCAACTGTATTGAACATTTTATGGGGGTTATATAAATATTTTACAACTGTACAGTTAGGGCTGTAGTAGGTCACCTTGAATTTGTACCGTTGCGATGGGTACTTTTTTATCACGTACGAAATGAGGCGCTTATCCATTTTTTCCATCTTCTCCGTGTATGTGCTTGACAATGCGAGCCAAACATGAAAGGAATGTTTAGAATTAGATCGCAGTTCTTAAATCAGTAATCACACAACAGACCCACCAGGGCGCTGTCATATTGTTATTGCCGGACAGGACATCTTCCCACAGCCTCGTGTTCGACCCCCAAGTGACTAGTATTACTTTGATTCATTCTTTTGTTAAATAGCATGTTCGCAATTAATTAACGTGAAATAACTATAAAAAATGGTAACTTCAAGCAGATTAATATCCAACATAAGTTTTTATATTGTTCCATCTCAATTAGGCCTTAAGAGTTGAGTATTTGCAAGTTTATCTTTGGAAATTGAAGGTGATGATGGCGTTCTATTTTCTGAATCATTACATTCCCGAAATGCGTTCATTATACCACATGCATCTATATTAATAATATAGGTAGATTTTATGACCTTGCCAACAACAGAGAAATATCAATCATGTTGTCTCAATATCACAGTAATTCGTTTCATAATTCAACCCTCATGAGTGCAGAATGATGTATGCAAAATAAATTAATCGCACTGTCTCTCGTCGTCTCTTAACCTTCTTCGCACCGTACGAGGGTTTGACAAAATTTAATAAAGTAGAAGGTATAATTGTAATATTACAAAGTATTAAATAAAATTGGGGTAATAAAAGTATTTGGTAAGCCACCCTCGGCAGACGTGAGCATCGACAATAGGCGATTGGACTGCAGTACTGATTGGTTTTCGCTTCAATATCGGCTACTGAATCTCATTATGTACAATACACACGCATCTCTATTGTGATAAGTTTTGCAAGGGGACTGTGCGTATGATCTACAATGGACCCCGACTTAGACGGTGACATTAACGGTACGCTGAAAAAACTTCGTATATTAGGCTCATGCCTCATTAACATTATTTAATGTAATTGTTTCTTCAGTAAACAGAGTGAAAAGTAAGTGACGGTGAACCTGTGAAACTTGGAAAAATTTTCTTTATTTTGGTATGATTGTACTACGTTGTCACATTCTATAAAATCTAGATGAAAATGCGCTGAAAAAGACATCAATGGGTGGGGGTGGGTAAATTTTACAGGGCAGCTGGCGAAATAAAAGAACTAGCGACAAACCTTAGGGGGTCGCAACCCCTCCTGCTGCTACCCAGCTTTTATGGAATAGTTGACAATGTTCGGCATTTATCTGAACGTGCCAGAATCGTGCTATACCGGACACGTATTGCAGTTGCACTTTTACAGTAATCGAAGATACAAGTACTTCACAAAGATGATGAAAAAAGACGTTCAGTAAAGCAACGATAATATGAGTGCTCATACACAAGGCGCCGGTGACTATTGGAACCATCAAAATCAACAATTTTTCGATCATTTTCGCGTGAATTCTTTGCCGTTCGATTCCAATACTCCAAACGTTTATCCAATCTACAACGGAAATTATAGTGGAAATAGTGCGTGCGCTTTAGCTGAAAGTAGTTATAAAAGTTGTGTAAAAAGCGAGTTCCCAGTTGGGTACGAAAGGTACACTTCTATAAACTTTGATACGAAACAGTCTTACGAATCAACATCGAACACCTCGTTATCTTCCCCTTCGCAATTGTCGAACGCCGCAGGTGAGGATGACTACAGTAGTGAATTCGTTGACATCAGAAGTTATCTTTCACGTTGGCCACCGTTTCCCAATCAAGCTGAAGAGAAGCACATTGACAACGTACAGCCGGAACAAAAGGAGGATTCCCCTGCTTTGCGAGCACTATTAACCAAACCGCGCGATAAAAAGGACCAATTTTCAACCCCTACAATTCCGGAAACGTTGCCGAAGCCACAAATTAAATCGTGCGCCAAATCTAATTACACATCCAAAAATGAAACGCCAAACACACCGCCACCTTCAGTCAAAGAAGGATGCGACGGAAATAACTTCGTACAAATAAACAACTATTATCCCTGGATGAAAAATTGTAAGTAAGAAACTCATATTACAAATGAAAATATTAACATTTTTCCTGCAGCAGACAGTAGCCAGGGGGGAAAACGGACCCGCCAGACATATACCAGATATCAAACCCTTGAACTTGAAAAAGAATTCCATTTCAACAGATATCTCACACGGCGGCGACGAATAGAAATTTCTCATGCACTCTGTCTAACCGAACGGCAAATAAAAATTTGGTTCCAAAACCGAAGAATGAAAGCTAAGAAGGACAATAAATTTTCACCATCCGAGGATTTCCCGGAACAAGACGATATCAATATGAATAATACAATAACGAGCACAAATAACGGCACTTCACCATACACGAATATAAATTCACCAGAACTTTGCACGGTAAGTCAAGAACGAAACCTGTTTGATGAATCGGTCGCTATACCTATGACCCAACTGCGTAACCTTCCTGGACCGCCTTGCTTACCTTAAATAACGATCTATATTAATTAAAATTGAAGAGCATATATCAAAATGTAAATAAAGACTTCGCGCTCTACTTAAATGGGCCCAAGTTCTCTGTGTGTATGTATATAAAGCTTTAAGTATCTATTTGTGTAACTTAAATTGTAAATATCCGTAAAACTGTATTTTATATGGAAGCTTCTTGTATGCCAAGTTAAAATAAATTATGACCAAACAAGTGCTCTTAAGGTGGTTGTAAACCTGCACCCTGTTGATTTATGGATGTTATAGAGCACTTTGTAGGCTCCGCTGAGAAGATTCGACAAAGTGTTACAAGCTGTACTAAAAGGATAATCTGTCTATATCAGTTACAAGAAACTATTTGCATTGACAACCTTAACTTTTAAAGAATTTAAATTAGCATAATATTGTGACAACAAATTCCCAAAGGATAGTTCATAAAAGTATTAATAATAACTAACTGTCAAAATGAAACCGCTGAACATATTTGCGAATATTAAAGCTTTTTGCCAAATTGCCGTCGTGCACTTTCAAGGTTAAGTATTATTTAATTGAATTGAGGTGCCCGAAAGTGGGTCATCGTCATCAGAAGAATTTTTTCAAGGAATAGGTTTTCGTAATTTTACGTTCCACCGAAATACCTACCCCCTATATTTAGAAAGTTTTGCAGCTGCAAGCAGAAATCGGAAAAGGCATGCGTGTTCATGAATCAAACATGGCCGATGTTATCCTCGCGCGTTTAGAAGTGTTCCATGTGTTTCCAAGAAAACAACAGTTTCAGGCGAAATTATTTCGGTAAGTGTTTTATACAGCGCGATGTTTTAATTTAATCAAAGAAATACATAATTAGGTGCAAGTAAATATCGGTACATTTGAACGATAAGTAAATTATTATGCGACGTATGTATATAAGAACTCTAATAGAAAATTAATTCACACGCATGTACAATTTCCATCACATTGCTAATTTGATTAGCTTCCAGATGACCTTTTTTGTTATTTTGCCGTCAGATATTTAGGATAAAAAACCTGGAGATACGTTAAGGTTATAATTATTTTGTTTGAACAGGTAGGTATAACATTTTTTGATTTACACTTCAATACAATTACGATTAAATAAATTGCCATCTTTTATTCAATTGGTTGTGTGCTGTAAAAGAAAGGCACGTTAGTTTGATTCTAATAGGCTCATTTTTGGTAAATGATATCAATAATTTAAGCGCAACGCAAAGCATCATCAAGTTGCACAAGTATCTACCTATATACGAGGGAATGGTAAATGAAACGAAGCTCAACCCGAATCTATATATTTTCGGGATATAATTCAGGAAGTAATTCATTTCATATTAGTATCCAAGTAAAGCAGATAGGTAGGTAGCGTCTGACGTATGATTCTGCAATAACAACTAGTTGTAGAATATTCATATCTAAAACGTAGAGCCGCCTCTGAATCACACTAATGTCAAATGTGGTCGAAATTACAACTAGCGTTTTTTCAGTCACAAGTCATGTTTTCTTAAAGGCAGTTGCAATAGACTCAATTACATTTGGCGAAACTGTTTTAATTTCCAATTTTTGCTGTACAAAATGTAAATTTTTAATTACAATCCTACAGCTTTCTGGACAGATTCTTGCTTTATATGTGATATTACAAATAGTAAATGTGTAGAAAAAGGAATGGAATTAAAAAAGCAATTGTATTTTTTTCATTTTTTATTGATGTCATTGAAATGTACCTAATTTCTCAACATCTTTAAAATAAGAGAATAGTGGGAAATTGTTTTTAAGCAATCAAAAAGGAGTGAATTTGCAAAAAAAAGGCTTAACAAAGTAAATATTTTTTCAAAATAATTCAATTTTGTATTGAAATCGAAGCCACAACATGCTAGAGAAATATATTTTCACTCTTTCTATTATTTTAAACGATCTTAGGATCTTAGGAAGTGCACGCACTATTAGCTTATACGTATCTAGTGGCTGGGGTAGGGATTCTATAACTATGGTTTCGTAGAGTTTTAACAATAAATCTAATAAAGGTGCTCGTTGTTCGCACCTTATGGATGTCTTGAGTATCTTACAAGATACGATGTCGGTGTAAGCAATTCGAGCATTAAATCCGAATCTCAATCTGAGTGAAAGCTCCTTTGGCCAAGGGTATTGAGCATTTGTATTTGGTATACTCGAAATAAGGAATAAAACAATCAGATAACTAACTAATAGTGCACAAAATCAGCTACCGTTCCTGTAATCACAACCAGTCATACCTGTAATTAGAGTTGACAACGACTTTGTTAATATCGTTTAGATTTCTTTTATCTGCAAATGCCAACCTTTTCATATTAAAATACAATATTATTAAAACAAACTAAATTAAATAATTGTAATTAACCCAAATTAGACAACCAAAATTAATTTTGTCACTATTTGCCACTTTTGATAGGCATTGACGACACAACTCGAAGGAAAAGGATAATGAGTTTGTTTGTCTAATTTAATTACAAATTGCTCCGTATATTGTTTGACTATGATAGTTAGGTATTTATACGGAAATTTACACCTACATTGCGATTAATTTGATTACCCCTAAATTTTTCACAAAAAATTCAAGCAATACAAGTAGTAATATCTGCTTGTCCGTCTGTGTTGGTTTTAGATTCAGTACCGAGTTAACCAGGAAGCGGTTTTGTTAGTTACATATTTATTGACTTTAAGACATATAGAGTGGAAGAATTAAAGTAAATAAATGAATAAATAGACAAATAAATAAATTACTACTGGCATTGAAATTTTTGTAAAATGTGATAGTTTTATTGCCAAAATGAGTATTTAAGCTTTTGTAATAGTATACGTCACGGCAGTTACAAATAAAAATTGTGTATGTACCTTATACTGACAAGTTTTAAAATAAGATTCGCCATTGTCTTATCTAATATTTGTTTTTACTCAGAATTGAATACGCTTCTATGGTATTTGAAAACATGGAAAATTTATTATAATGTAGTAACACTTAGATTGTTTCAGTCTTCCGATTACGGAAACAGAACATTGTTGTTACTTCAAGTTGTAACCCATTCCTAAAGAAGTTAATCTAAAAAAATTATACTGTCAAATGGAAAAGAATCCGAACACATTCTAGAGGTGGGTTTTGAACTCTGATATGCGTTATCCAGAAAATCTATTGTTTGTTTGGAAAACGGGCATTTTTTGCATTTTACTAATTTATTATTTTGCAAGAAATTAGAAGAAAGTACAAAAAAGTAGAAATTGGTGATTTAATCCATAAAACTATTATAAAGCGTTTTAAGATACAAACTTAATACAGTTTTCCATGTTTCAGCAGAATGTAATACAATTTCCTTTTTTGATTATTGTGGTATTTTTAGATTTTTTAATAGATATTTTCTATGATGACTTGACAAACCATTCAATTTTCTAGAGTGTCTTGAAAACAGAGGCTATACATTAAAATTATTACATGGTAGCCGTCAAACTTCCGATTTTCAACTTACCGATAGTTTTTTAATATCTGCGCGTTTTTACAAATTAAAATCAGTTTTTTTTCATAACGTAGGTATAAATGTTTTCATTGTTTTTGTTCGCACGTTCGTGTTTTTGGTGACTTTGTCAGTTGATGTCAAACCATACATTTCAGTACATTTCAGAAGAAAAATTCAATTGTTTGTGTTGCAATGTTACAATTAAGTAGGTCAAAAAATTGTATCGTACATGGATCAGAACAAGCATTTTTTCCCTAAAAGTTCCTAATAGTTCAAATATTTGCGTTTATTTTGTATTTGTTCTCAGAACCCTCAAAAGTCAGTTGATAGAATTTTCAGCTTTCCAAATATAAACCGGCTTTATGGTTCAGTGGTAGAGCGTTGGACTATAAATCCGGAGGTCGGGTGTTCGAACCTGGGTTGAAGTGAATTTTTCATCTGTGGCAGAGATGGGAATTACATTAGACCAGTTTCGAGCATTCTGCCGGCTACTCCGAATTACGTTTTCGTGCAGTTTTCCTAATTCGTAAGGTAAATTCCGGAGTAGTATAGAACAACTTAAGACCTTCTGCAGGGGCGCCTCTAAAAAGCATTATGCGGATCACTCAGTAATTGGGGGCAAGCCTGTTGAAGGCACACAACAACAGAGGGGGGATAATAAATAATAAATAAATAAAATGGGGGAAAGTTTTGCCTCAATTCTTCATAAAAAGTGGTTAATCTGTTTCTTTTTCACTTGTTCGCTGATGATGACAGCCTTGCCTTATTGTGGTTTCTTGGTGTTATTGCTAGTTGTACACAAGGCGGTTCAAATTCGTGGCTCACCATTGGGATCTCCGTAACGGTAGGAGGGACAGTGTATGTTAATGGTGTCAAAGTTGCCTCTTTTTGTGACTAAAAAAACACATTTGAAATTTTTGAAAAATCTTTTAAAATAGCTCAAAAATCACTGAAAAACTGAACATTAAACGGTTGGAAATGGAGGGTCCCCTTCGCAACTTCACTTTTTTGCGGAGAATATGAATGTGTTATCGCCAAATGTTGATCCTGGTGTTTTGCTTTCATTTAAAGTGTATATGTATGAAATTTTATTTAATTGCTTCCATAAATAAGAAAATTGGTACTGCAGAAATTTAGAAACTCGCGCTACATTTGCTTTTATTGCAAGCGGCTATGTATCAAATTTCATTTAAATGCTTTTATAAATAAGAAAGTTTGCATTTCGGTTTATAAATGGTAGAGATGCGAAAATGGCACTGTGAATGTTGATCGATTAGGATCAACTTTTGGAATTGCGTTTTATATATCTAAAGCTATAGGTACGCATATTGAATTTCATGCAATTCGGTTCATAAGTCACGGAGATGACAAAATTGCCTTTTTTATTTTTTGGGCTACATTGCCAATTCACGAAGTCCGATCTACAAATTTGATAAAGAATCCTCCAAAATTTGGCCATAATCGGTCCATTCGTTATCGAGATATCGTGCTAACGGACGGACGGACAGACACCGCAAGATTATAAACTCACTGGAGCTCGTTAATAATAGATCTCTAATAAGTAATATACCTACAATGTATATACAAAATAATAAAACAGCATGTAATAGTTAATTATTAAGTAATTAATAAAGGTAGGTAAAATGAAAGTAACGGGCGATCAAAAAAGGATTGACGTCGAGTCGCCTTTGGAAGTTCAACTTAAATATAATTTCCCATCTAAACAAAAATTACAAAGAGGACTCGACAGCAACTGTCTTTTGATCGCATAGTAGTATTCATGCACTCCGGGGTTTTTTAGACCGAGATTCATATCTCATCAAAAAGCCCCGTACATTTTTTTACATAAAGTGAAGAAATTCTGTAACGCATCCCCTCTATTATGTATTTAGCTTTTTTGTACAAATTTAGGGAAGCATTTTGATTGTATAATTGATTAGACCTACAGTGTTTAAAATTGCCTCTATTACAGAGTGTGTAATTTTCCCATGTAATTTCTGCATAAATATGAATTTAATTTTTAATGCATGATTTATTAAACTCTAAACTTGATGATTCGTTTATTTGATTAAATCCAGGATTTTATCATAAAGAAAAATCTTTCTGTGTTACCCTACCCTAGGTATATCCTTAATAGTTGCATTTGGCAGATGTTCAATTAGTAGAAGTTTTAAAGATATTTACACTAAACGGATACTACGAAATATCAAAGGTATTACCATCACTTTTTAACGACAAGGCAAATCGACAAAAATGCATCAAATTCATGTCGTGGCTATCGAAATAATATGGTGTCAGAAAAATAATTTAAAAATAATCTTTGAATCAAATACTATCCTAGGTAGGAATCAAGTGTGTATCGGATGTACTCTTTCGGCATCAAGATAATGCGTTTGGCAGCTTTTACAACTCCAAATTCATATGTAAAGAATAATTTTGGGTACATTTTGCTCTAAAACTTTTGACCTAGACCACGGAGAAGAGTTATATTAAATTGTTACACATCTATGACCCGGTTGTTCAATCATGGTTTAAACTGCAGCTCTCATAGTAATCACCAACAACAATAAGAACAGTAGCATAAAATCTAAGTCGCAGTAACACGTTGTAACTAACATAATGGATATTGTTGTGATAGCGTGGGTTCTAAAACAATATAACAATACACAATGGGCGATCAAAAATGAGGTAATGTCGAGTCGCCTTTGGAAGTTCCATGTTCTTGAGGGAACAAAAAACTAGTTTAATCCAGTGTTACTTATACGATTTTTTTCAATACCGACCGATCTGAATCAATTTCGAAATTAATTTATGCTTTTTATTATAAAAAAACTGTGAAAAAGTAAGGTAGGCTATTTAATTTTTTTTTTAATTTTTTTAAATTTTAATTTTATCCCTCTCTTGTTTTTGGGCCCTCAGGCATGCGTCCAATTACAGAGTGACCCGCATAATGCTATTTAGAGGTGCCTCTGCAGAAGGTCTTAAGTTGGTCTATACTACTCCGGTATTTACCTTACGAATTAGGAAAACTGCAGGAAAACCTAATTCGGAGTAGCCGGTAGAATGCTCGGAACTGGTCTAAGGTAATTCCCATCTCCGCCACAGATGAAAAATTCACCTCAACCCAGGTTCGAACACCCGACCTCCGGATTTATAACCCAATGCTCTACCACTGAGCCATAAATCTATTTACGGTGTTATAGTTACTCTCCCTTGTTTATAACTGTGTAATTAAAAATTTTCCATCTCCATAAAACTATACCTGTAAACCCTTTTAAAAATATGGAAGAAGAAAGTGACGAAGCATATGAAGGCACCTCTTTCATCCCCTAAGATATCACTTACTTGCTGATAAAAGTTTGTTTGTTTAAAACATTGAATGCTAATGTTTGTGCTTGTAGATTGTGACAATTGCAGGAGGAATTGTTAAAAATGAACGCAATTAGTATTTGGCATTATATAAAAAGAGCTGAATGTACTTTTTAAGGCCCTTTATAGATTGTGCTTTTAATATTACCTGTATTCTGAAAATAAAGAAATTTCGGAATTCTGAATGTTTTACAAGAAAACAAAAATGAGGGATTAAAATTTTTTTAATCCCTAGGAATTTTTTTTTTAAACAAATAACTTCTTAATCTTTTGGTTTTGTCCAATACACTTCAAAAATGATGTTGTTTCCGAGCTGCAAGGGCCAAAGGTTTCAAAAGCTAGAGCCACAAAGAAAAAATTGTTGGATTTCAAAGCGGAATATTTTTCGTGCTTCTTCTTTGCTTGAATTTCACTAGCTGATCCGGCGGTTATTGATGTTTGATGTATGTATGATGCCGCAACAGTGTCCACGCAGGTGACATCCCAAATTAAGCGTTGTCCTCTTCGCCATGGTGCTAGAGTGACTCCATCTGGTCGTTTTCCATCGTCGCGTGACAAACCTACAGGCTCCAGAATTGAACAAATCTTAATTGACGCAAGAGCTCTCTGAATGATGTGATTCAGCTCTGTGTGCCGTGAATGTCTTCCCTTGCTAGATAAGCAGCTTAAACCGTGATGCCCATTTTCCTCTACAACCTTTCCACAGTTGCATTGGTGCAATAATTTAATTTAATATTTAATTCCCTAGGAATTAAAATTATCTGTTAATGCACAAAAATTAGAGATTAAATTTAATAAAAACGTGTCGGTATTGGAAAAAATACATTAATTCCGTTTGCCTATGGTGCGCTCAACCTGGGAGACACGGTATACAAAGGTAGAAAGTAAAGGTGAAGTCATCTCACAGAACACTTACCCTAATGAAATATTAAAACAGTAATGAATACCATCATCTCATCTGTTTCAAGTCAAATCATTTTTTCACCGTGTATTCCTTAGTTACCATAGGATAGGTGTAGTCACCCTTTATACTCGTATTATAGAGACCGCCACGTCAAACCGGCACCAGAAGATCTTTATTTACAAACAGTTTGGCGAACAGACTACCTAGTCATATTTTTTTAATGAGCGTTTTTTTGCACATCAGTTTGGGGAATGTGCCACATGTTTAAAATTCTTTTTTGTGGATTGTTTACATTTCACTTGCACCTTTTATAAGAACAGAGTATATCAGATGTCCTGTCCATCTATCGATACAGTCTACGTATACAAGCTTTGAATAATCTATAATTGAAACCTTTAACAACGATATTTTTGGAGAATGTGTTACATCGGAAAAAATGAATTTATTATTAGATGTGTATTATTGTCACGTGCTTACAAAATGCCGCAGAAAAAGATGACTATAAAAAGAATAAACGAATTAAATGATCGTTATATAGGTAAAATTGTTCGGCTCAGAGTTATACCCAAAGCCATGTGTTGTGCTTCCAGCGGAAGGTAGCAAATACCTTTCATTTGAATCTTGCCGACCCATCCCATCACAAAGAAAATTTTTTGCTTACTTAGAAATCCAATGAAATTTGTATATTTGAGGTCATGTGATCAAAAATATCCAATTACAGCAACATTACACTGATAACAGATCCCATGGGCTGTTTTCACTTCGTTGCTATAGATACGCATGCATGTCAATTTTGAAGTTTCACATAAATTAATATAAATTCAACATGTCACGATTTGGTTGCGATAATGATGAGAAGATAAACGAAATTATCGAGTCAAATACACCCAGAAATACTGTATACAGTAAGAAATTTGTTTGGAAAGCTTTTATGGACTTTTGCAGTATTAGAAATTATGAATTAGATGGAAGCCGAACGGTGGAAGAATTGGCGTCAATTTTAAAAGATTGGGCCGTGAATATGAGAAGAAAAGATGGTATGCAGTTTAAAGAAGCTACGGTCAAAACTATGTGGAATGTAACAAGTAAGCTTTTACAAGAAAAGTATTTTAAGGAAAGTAATGTTATAATTGACCCGTTTAAAAGTGTTGTATTTCAACAAGCGCGAGCGGCCCGCGATTGTGCACGGCGAAAACTGCAGTCTGATCCTACTAAAAGAAAACAAAGTTCTGTAGCATTAAGTTTGACAGAAGTAACCAAAATGATCAATTTGTGGGATGAAGAAACTCCTGAAGGGCTGCAACGGAAATTCTACCATATAGCTGCGATAGAATTAGCTTGGAGAGGTGGGGAAGCTGCTTCATGCTTAACGGACTTTTTTTGTATCGAAACAAATAACGATGGGTCTGAAACAAATCGAATTGAATATAATCCTATATTTAGTAAGACTTGCCAAGGCGGATCAAAAATGTGCACACAAAGCAAATTTTTAGTGAAAAACGATGACAGCAACATTTGTCCTGTCAGGTTGTATAATAAATTAATTTCAAAAAGAGGCTCAAATATTAAAACGAACAGATTGTTTTTAAGACCAAATCGTCACTGGAAATCGAAAAACGATCACTGGTATGACAATATGCCTATAGGGAAAAATATAATTCAACACTGGACAAAATCATCTGCAGAAGCAATTGGCTTAAATACTCAAGAGAAAAAGATTACAAATCACTCGAACAGATCGACCGCAGTTAGTCAACTGGCAAAAAATGGGGTTCAAGAGCAGCAGCTCATAAAGATAACAGGCCACAACAACGCTAACTCCATAAAACCTTACTTAAATATTGACCAAGAACATCACAACCTAATTATTAACAGCATGCGTGAAAATACATCGTCGTCAGTGATTGAAACTAACACCTCTGGGTCTTCGTTTAATTTTTCGAATTGTTCATTTACTAATTGTACCTTTAAATAAATAATTTTGTGTTTGTATTTATTTTAAAAAAAAAGCAAAAAATTTTCTTTCGAATAACCCTCGAACATTGATAAATCCTCAAAAATTTCATAACAGATTTCTCAAGCTTGTTGCTTATTGGAAACAGACCTCCGCCTACGGCGTCGGGCTGTTTCCAAGCAACAAGCTTTGAAGTCTGTTATGAAATTTTTTCGTACAATTATCAATGTCCTTGGGTTTATTACTACTGAAAACAGTTCGATTACGGATAAGTAATTTAGAATGCCACTATGCTTATTTAAATGTGGAAATATACGATAATCCGACAATGCGTGTAAATTTTTTATGTTAGATCTAAATAGGGGTTATAGCACATAACTAAGTAGTTTTTGTAAAAATGTATTCCACCTTACAGCTAAAATACCATTAGAGTTTCACAAAAAGTGTGGGTTTAGTAAATGTGTATCTATTATAAAGTGATTAGAAAATGACTTCTCATATAAAGGAAGATGAAAAAGCAATATAATTATAGGTAGACTTTATCTCCATTACTAACAAATGTGTGTGTTTAACGCAATCATAAATATAAATATTGGAGGTTCCGGTAACTGCGTTTGATTCATGGTTTTGTTGCAGAATTTCTCCTGGCCTGACTCGATAAGCAGCAGATCTCTGATGGACCGATAATGGTCGATCTTCTAAGGGGAGAGGTAGTTTAATCATCATTATTGAAACTCCTAATGGTTTGTATTGTCCACCGTTCAATTTATCATGTGCACGTCCTAATGGATGAATTATATAAAAGGAACAAGTATGTTACTTTTGCTGTTAGTTAAAAATGAAATCGTATAATGTGAAAAGTTTCTGTCTTATTTGAAATAAATATTAGTAAATGAGTTTATTTGATTTGACGCTATAGAAATTCCATTCCCATTAGAAAGTGATCGAAGAGTTAAAGTATTTTAAAAGCAATCAAAACTTCGTCGAACATGGGCCCTGCAAAAACAGTTAACCGCAAAATAAGTTCTAAATTTAATCAATGGTCGCGGAAGCGGAATGTTGCGAGTTCGTTCAAGAGTTTGTGTATTAAAACCTTTCGGTGCGTGTAAACTTCCAGGCATTGGTAAAGGTTTTCATAAAAAATAGTGTTATGTGGCCCGTACGATTTTGGCGAATACAAAACAATGAGAGTATCATTAAAAGTTTGGAATCGCGTTTGACTGAAAACAGAGGTTTGCATGATATTGGAAACAGCGCAATTCCATTAGACCAGATGTGCGGCGCGGGCCGTGAATATGCAACGTAGGGGTGTGTATTGGTACATAATAGGTTCAGTGACGTGTTCTACTAACCCTGACAGGAGGTGAGGAGGGTCGCGGGTCTTACAAAGCTCTAGGTCGGAAAGGGATGAAAGGGGAGTATCGGGGTGATGGATTACTCGACCACCCTGTCAAACGCAAGATGGATCTGCCATTTTAAAACTTATATTTTTCTGCAATATGTAAAAATGATGGCAGATTTTATTGAAATGTTGATACTCCAAATATTTAAGCATAAAATTTACTAATTCTCTGGTAATTGAGAATCACCTTTATGTCAGTTCTTTCATTAGTTATAAATCAGCACAACTCACACAAAATCAGAAAAGCTAGCGTGTGACGTTTATCAACAAGTTAATTTTAAAAAGCTTCCTTATAGCAGAATGAATGTAATACACAAAGATATACGAATATACGATACTTGAAACGATCGGTCTTTAATGATAGGGACCAAACCCTAACTATGACGTATTACAAATTAAACCACCACTAAATACGTAAGTGCAGCGTCTACTTAAGGTAAGTACAGTAATTGCTAAAAAGTAAACGATTTCTCTTAATTATGTTCTGACAACGTTCTCGGTTGTCTTTTTTGCGAGCAACTGTAACGTCACGTCAATATCCAAAGCCAGTCAGCTCTGTTATAACCATTATCTTCAAGTATATTAAGTATACAGGGTGTTCACCTAGCCCTCTCATTAAACTTGCAGTTGAAATAGAACAGCCATAATAGACCATTGAGAATTCAAATAAAATCATTTCAAGATGGCGCCGCTTCCGTTAATACCGGAAATGGCGCCATCCTGTTTTTTTTAAACAGAAACGCATTTTCTATTTTGTTCTAAAGGCGCTATTTTATTTTGAATTCAACGCATTTAGATTTATGTACCTACCTGTCATAGTTTTTGACTTGTGTCAAATTTTTCTCTAAAAATTTCAAGACGCAAGAGTCAAAATTTCATATCTCTAAACCGTTCAAGACTCACTCACTAGTGCTCCTTTTTACAATCGAGTCCTTAAAGTCTAAGGAATTTTTTGAGTTGCGCCGAAAGTCTTGAAAAAGTTTCACGCAACTACTATTTTTTCTGCCAGAAATGAATGTAGATACATTTAGGGCCTAATTTAGGGCCACTTTTATTAACATTCTGTATGCCTACATCCGGTAGTTATAATAAGTTATTGGCATAAATAAAAAACAAATAAAAAAACTCAATGCGAATAATGATCCATAGACAGTGAAAATTTGAACACTATGATAGCAATGTTTGACATTTGATTCGACGGACGTTCAAATAAAAGGATTGCGTCCAAATGAAACCTAATGAAAAATAAGAATATTTGTTTCAAAAAATACCAATAACTCAATAACAACCCGATATTTATACGAGTAGGTGTACAGAACGTTAATAAGAGTGGGCCTAAAATTAAAATTTACATTCATTTCTAGCCTCAGAAATAGTAGTTGCAATTTACAAAACTGAAGTTGTTGATATAAATCACAACCCATAGTTGACAGTCGAGAGCCACTCCTGTAACCGACCCTTCACCTTGAAAACGTGAGTTTACAAACAAGTCAGTACAGATGGTAGGAAGTTTGAAAATTTTTTTGCAAAATAGGCACGGCCATACCCTAGGCCAAACCCCAAAACCTATTCAGAAACTTGCCTTGGTATCTGTTATGGTTGCTGAGAAAAAAGTTAAAGAAGAAATGCAAATTTCGCCACTTCTTTGAGTGTTGGCTCCCTGGTTGGCTCCCAAACGAAACACGTTGGACCCTGGGTTTATTTGGAAAAGTGCTTGTTTTGATCCCTTATAGCGCCCAATCTTTTTTCATATGTATATGTTATACCCTGTATATACGTACGTCTTTCGGCAACACTATGATCATTTACCTATGCTTTGCTTTAGAAAGTTTGAAAGGTATGTTAGTTTTAGGTTAAAAAGTGAATTTTTATGAAAGTTTGTTATGCTTTTTGGTGTTTGTAGGCATACCTCTTTTTCGTCTTCCAATCAAACAAAAGAATCCCATATAGTATTATTTTCGTCAAAGTAGTTAATGACTGGAATGCCTAGCACCTCCCAAAATAAGAATACCTTAGGCTTGTCGGTAGGGGTAAGTCTGTCTGCGAGTTTTTGCTCGTGAACTCTCGCTTTTATATTGTGACTTGAGTGGCACTGATATCATAACTCCGTTTGTCTTCTGAGAGTACGTTACAAAAACATATAAGATAATTCAGAAACACAAAGATATAAAAGACATACCTATCTAAAGAATAAAGCAAAATTTCACTCAACGTTTTGAAATGGAAGGTCAAAACGTGATCTGTTAGATAAAATGATGTCCATATTGCGGCGTAAAGGTTTTACGCTTTTAATCCGTTGAGTAAATCGGACCAATCACACTGCGACGAACATAAAGTGGCACGCGTGCGATCGTAAAACAATATGGTTAATAGAAACAAAAAAAATCAATGAAACTGCCAGAACGTCAAAATTCAAACTACAAAACTATTCATTTTGTGTCAGTTCTCAAATTTTGTGAATTTTGCGAACGCTGCGGTCCTGCGCTGTTGTGACCACTTTTTCCGTCCATCAGTCCGTCCGTCCGAGGTCTTAACTAGTCCTACAGTTTTCAATATAGTTAGTTCGTTCTTTTTGAATTCGTCACCTGACTCAAGAAAAATGTTGACAATTAAATGTCAATATCAACGTTCTTATTTAGATATTAATATATTTTATTGAAATTTTAACCACAGATGATTCTAGTAAAGGTAAACATCGCATATAGTAATAAATACGCTAGCAGCTCGTTAATAATCAGATGTGCTCATGCGCAATGCCAACTTTTTATTTTGCATTAACGAGCATTCCGTTTCAATTGACCAAGGGTTCAAATGATTAAAATAACAAGTTTTCATTTAGAATTTCCCACCTGTCCTATACCTAATTTTAAGCTATAGGTTATTCGACGTCTGTATTAACTTTCAATTGTAACATTAATTCATTTGCGAACCGTTCTTAGCTTTCCGTGCGTAAATTCAACGTGAGATAAGTTCACGTAAATTGTTATCTAAATCATTATTGAAAATGTTTAGTCAACAAAACTTTTAAATGGCGATTAAATAGTTATTAACAATTAAAGCCCACTGTCCATGAAGGTATACAAACATAAATATAATAACAGTGAGAGACTATTATAACGTAAAAATGAGTAAGGTTGCTGGGAAAACATGTGCTGTAAATAATACTGAAGGGCGCAGTGGGTGCGGATGATGTAATGATTTATGTAGGGGTACTTCCTGGTTGTTTTGTGCTTTTCTTTAAGTGTATATTTGAACTTGTAAAACTTTTAAATAAATTTTCAGTCATAAAAGAAGTGTTTGAGCTTTGAAATGTATACAACAGAAACTTGTTCAAGCTCTCTGTAGATACCTACGCACCTGTAAATTTACGTTGCTAATTTCTTTTTAGTTTGATTTAATCTACGTTTTTAGACTTATTTACGATGGATATCGCCTTTTGATAAAAAAATTGTCATGGATTGTCAATGTTCGGTAGTGGTAACGAAACGAGTAAACATATTGCATGTTTTGTTTGCATCATATTGAAACAACTTTAGTGCCGGATTACAAAGGGGCCGATTAGGCTATACAGGGTGTCTTAAATTAATTAAATTGAGGCTATTTTTGTTATTTCTGTACTTACAGATTGGTTAAATTGGCAAAGTTGTGTAGTTAAGATGCTGATAGATATTCCGATGCGATATTTTGGAAAAAAAAATTCGTTTCGTACACAGAGAAAAACTTTTGTTTGAGAGAAATAAAAAATATTTAATACAAATAAATTTCTTCTTTCTATATGGCGAAGTAAATGAATTATTTAAGTTAAATTGCCAATTTTTTTAGATAGTTAACACAGTAATTATTTACATACGCCAAACCCACTTTTGATTTAACTTCTGATAATATTGAAAAAAGCAATGGAAAATGTTGATAGAAATAACTCCAATTTCAGCTTAAGTCAAGGTAGCGTGTCCCTTCAAGTAAATTATACTTTAAACAAACAAATATATTGTTGATTTTCCAATTTTACTGTTTCCAAGCAAACATTTATTTCTTTGATGTTCGGTTTACATCATACATGTGCAATATTTTTCAAAGAAATATTCGTTTGGTTCAAATAAATAATACTATATTTTTAAAGCAATATCTATTTATTTGAACCAAAATTTGTGTTATACAATCTACTATATCTATGGTAAAGAAACAGCTTTATTTGTTGGATGAAAGACAATGTAATTTAGATGATATGTTTAATTCTGTTAAGCAAATGAAGGTGCTTGGTTGATTCAAAAAACATATTTTCTTCCTTTAACAGATATATTTTTTTGCACAAAACATCCCTTTTTTAAACCAAATTATGATCTTGTTTATTTTAATAGGTACTATTGTGAAGTAAATACGAAATTTGTTCACACAAATATTTATTAGGTAATAAAATAAAATACATAATATACAATATATAAACAAAATATGTTTCTAGGAATAAAAATGATAATAACATTTACTTACTTGTAGTAGACAATTATTCTAATGTCATAGTATTATATTATGCTCGAGATTATGCTAATATTATTTACAGGGCGACTGGGCCAATACGCTATACGACTGATGGGAGCATTATTTTCTCAAATTATGCTATCTAGTTTAGTTATTACTGCTTTTATGATACAGAAATCAATACCATTTAAGGACGCATAGTATATTTTTTTAAAAACTGAATACTAACATTGATACTCTAAATACTAACTTAAAGAATCCTATGCTGCCACGTCAAGTGAGAGGCCACCACCACACAATTTTAGAACTGACATTTTTATCTAGAAAAGTCAGTTATACTTCTACAATCATTACTGAGATTAATATTTAAACAAATGTTTTCAATAGGTACTTAATTATTATGCATTGTAGATAACTAACATACCGTCAGCTGTATAGTGAATATTGCTAGGTTTTCGATTAAGCATATTTCTTGAAGGAATTAGTTTAAAATTATTTGGGGAGATTTTAGAATCGCATATGATTTCATCTCGGATTTCATACGCTTGAATATGAGTATTATACCCAATGGTATAAATAAGGCAGCCAACAAAATAAATCTCATTATTTATGTGAAAAATAAATTTAATTTTAATGAAATCGGGAATATCATTTTCTGTAAATTGCAAACATAACCCTTCTTTGTATTTAATATTGTTAATCTTTACCCAATTTACAATTACAGCTTCATTTGAATTAAAAGTGATGAGATGCGAATTTAGTAATCTCTCTATAACGAAAAATTCCGGCAATTGCGAAATTAACCCTTCACATGGACCAAGACATATATTATCATCAATTCCGCGAACGCTTAAGAATCTTGATGATAATTTGAGTTGCTGCTTTACAGCTAATGTAGCAATTATGTTTTTTCTGGTTGTAACTGCACCAGCAAAGTTTTTTAAGGTTTTGTGGAAACTTTCATACTTCATCCCCCAAATCAGACGAGGAGGTCCTATTTTTAATATGACTGTAGGATAGTGCACCAATATGTGATGTTTGGGTTTTAGAGAATCGTTAAACAAAGCACAGTAATCTTTGTTATGGTTGTCAATTAAGGTTTTTAGGAGCTCAACAGCATTTCTGGAAATAGTTCTACTAGTAATAATGTGAATTATTCGATGTAAATTTAGATAAAATTCCCACACTTCGTCATTATCTGGGACACGATCTCCTAGTAGTATACCAAAGTATACAACAAAGGCCAACATTTCTGATGCACTTAACGTTAAGTAATTTTTTTGAAGGTGTTCAATTTTTATTATAGGTATGGGATTGCCAATATCTGCTTCCGAAAATTTAAAAAACTTAATCCGACTATTTACTAGTGGAAGAGAGACAAATTTTTTAGATATTAAGTTATTTAATATATGGGCCATATCATATCTTAACACTCCTTCTAGCAAATCATGCATTAAATCCACGGAGATATTCTCAACCACATGGAAGAATCGTAGATCATTAAAAATACATATCTGTTTAATTCCAAAACTTAAATTCCTAGAATCCTCGTCGTAATTATTAATTGTGCGCAGAGTGTTAAAATCTTCAATACTCTGAATTTTAGAAAGTTCTTTGGAAGTTTTACATATTCTACAAAAATAATTCGCATTAAAACTTTCATTGAATCCTAAAATTGAGTTTAAACCTAGATTGTCTCCCAAAACTAAAAGAAGAACAAAATAAATACGATATCGTTTTGAGCTAATATGTACTTCAATTCCATATTCCTCTAAGTATTTGAATTCTTCTAATAATTTAGAAAAAATTTTTCCATTTCCGACTGTCGTTCTATCCTTAGAATAAAACAATTGAGCTAGAAATACGTTTTCAAGTATGGAAGAATATTCTGGTGGTATACAAGCCAACGAAACGTATACCGCCCCGATTTTGTGTATACCAGCTTTACTTCCAAAAGGATTGCATGATTCAAAGTCGTCGAAAAACATATAGAGAGGAAAAACCGTTCTATTGCCAAATTTCGTCTTCATACTCTGCCAAAGAGAACCTTGAAAGACATTAGACAAAACCGATGAAGGTTTTGAATCTTCTTCTTGTAAATATTGTTGTAGGATATTATAAACATTTGGTAATTCCAAAAATTTTTGTAAAACTCTCCTTAAAGGAATTTTCTGTATTTCGATTTTTTTCAATGCCAGAACTGGGTGTTGCGTTGTACTTTTGTTGTTTAATACAGGATGTTCTCCAACAGAAAACACTTCTGGCCGTATGAAGCTGTCACATTCTTCAAAATACTTAAAACAACGATATTCAGATTTAAATTCGGCTAACATAGTCTGCACATCTGAAAGCGTGTGCAATACGTTTATAATACTATCACATTCGGAATTCAAACAACAAAATATCTGAAATGTAATTACACACGGATGACATCAACTCATCAAACCTGTTTATTATTAATTGAACTTGATTTCTGGGTATAGACGGTAAACTATACAAATTTGATATGAAAGCAACTATTTCATCCTTTATGTTCAATTTTTTGGGTGTTTGCACTTCGTCTTCGCCATCTATGATGGTACTGATGCCATTATTGAAATTGTCATCATGATAATCATCATGTTGTGATAGCCCTGTATTACTAGTAGATATTGGTTTTGAACATTTGCTGGCCCCTTTGTGTTCAGAGACATAATGTTTTCGTAAAGTCGATAAATTATGAAATGATCTAAAACAATCTGATTGGTTGCATTTGTACTTTACAAGAAAAGGATGTATAATTTTGATGTGTTTAAGCAGCATTTCAATAGAGTTTAACAATTTTCCACAACTGAAGCAACTGAAAGAGGTGTCCATGGTGTCGGAAAGAAATATGCTTAAATCAATAGCTACGCTTATTTTAAAACGGCAACCTAATGATTGTAAACGCAATCTTGAACAAATGGAATCTTCAAGTCAGATTTAGTTTTCAAATTATAGACCTGCCACTGAATTAGGTACCAAATATGATGACTTTCAAAAGAATACTTGGCATCAAATATATGATGAGATTTAAAACAAAAGTCTAATGCATCAAATACAGAAATGCATTTATATAAATTGTCGTTTATAACAACATAGAAGCCAGTCACATTATTTAAACTGGGGCCAACTAAAATAACATAGGGTTGTACAGTTTGTCCCCTATTGTACATGAAATCTACCTTATCGCGTTTAGCCTTGTCGATATCACCAGGCAATTTAACATGCACAAACAATCCATCTCTACACTCTGTAATGGATGGCTTCCATTGCTTCCCCTTCGCCTTTATGCGACCTCTTGGTGGAACTAACGATGGTAGCAGATATAACTGAACTGCCCGCTTTGAATCTACAATAGTCATGTACTTATATTAAGATGTAAATTGAACGCAAGTTTACCAGTAGTTATATCTCCTTCCACTAATTGAAGAATGCTTTCGTCTGCTGCAGATAAATTTTTTCTTCGAATGTCCAGTAGCTTCTCGAAAAAGAAATTGAAAGTATCATCTGTAGCACCTTCCTTTTCAAATAATTTGTTGAAGTCATAAGTAACCTGTATAAAAATATATTATCAATATAAAAACTTTGAACACATTTTAAAAGTTCTTAAAAATAAGGAATCAGTAGGGAGAAATTCAGTAGGCAATGCAGTGATTGTTGAATACTTTCAAAGGAAATCTAGGTAAAACATAGATTTTGTTTGGCACATAAAAATGAATGACATACCATACAAATGTGCATTAAACTAAGACAATTTTGCTAGGTCCCTCAAGAGTATTCTTTTTCAGTTTTTATTATAAAGATGTAGCAATGGGACAGTGAACCTGCACTTTTACTATTACAATTTTTGTGATGCCATGGAATTTGGGGATTCAAGTTGTGTTTGTGTAACTGTAACATGAACCGCAGTTATTGATAAAAGTTGTAATGTTACATTTCGACCTATAATTGTACGGACGAAAACAGCGTAAAATAAAATATATGGGATAGGTAACTTACCAGTTCAATCGCCAATTGAGTTTCAAGAATGGGCCACTCCTTGTAGAACTGTTCAATTGTTTTGTTCTTGTTTACTGTAATTTTCCGAATTGAATAGGAATTGCGCCAATGCTGGAGTACTTCTTCTACAGGTTCATTGTTGTTTAGTAACCACAGTCGACTGTCTCTTGCATTTTGGTTGGGTTCTGAAAAGTTCCCCGTTGATACGATTTTTTCTGTGAGGGATTGTATACATATATACCTTCATTTTCATCGGAAATGTTTTCTCCCACACTTACGTCAAATTGGAGCGCTCTTCTGAGTGCTGTCAATTTATTTCTATGCTTGTCGACAAGCTTGCCTTTTGCAACTTCTGGTTTATTGCGACCAGATCTTTTTTTAGGAATAGGGCTGACAAAATAAGTGGCTCTCTTTTCACAAGCCGGAAAAAGAGCAACAATTTTATTTGCAATAATGGATAACGATTCGTTATTCAATTTAAACGATTTATTTAAAAAGTGAGATATAATAATCTCGCAGAGAACGTTCCTCTCTTTTCCATCAAGGGTAAATTTTGAATTATATTTACTTAATATGGCTCTTCCTAAAACGTCTGCGTTCAAGACTTCTTGCAAATTGAATTCAACTGCAGTTTCAATGGAGCAGTAATTTAAAAAGGAAGAATTCAATCCACAATCACTTTGATCGGTGTTTGTTACAGTTGACATAGAATTAATGTCATGTAAAGTATTGGTAGAAGGGCCAGCGTCCAAATCTACGTAAGTGTCTAACAAATTTGTGGCATTTTCGACCAAAAATGACACAGGTGTTGACTCCGTATAAGGTTTCTTTGATGGAGGTGGAGTACACTCGGGTGGAGTACACTATGAAGTCAATAGTAGCCTAAAAAATATGCGTGAATAACCGAGTGAAGAAAGTAACTAATTCTCTAATAACCTGCTCAATTTGGATGCTTCTGACACCCCTGTTGAATTTAATTCTATCTCCTATGTTTGGAATCAATTGCACAATATGCTCTTCAGTTAAATCAGGAAGTAGGTCCGTCGAATCTATACTTTGTTCTAAAACAATGTGCTTTTATAATCGTATAATCATATTTGCAGGAATTGCTAATTATTCACGATAGGCCATTACGAATCATAAAAAAAGCACTTTTACTTACTTGTAAATTCTGGTAATAGGTGTGAGAGGCCAATTTTACTGAAAAACTCTTCCATTATGCTTGGCTAACAACACAGTATACCTACAATCACGTATTCACAGTACACAATTACAAATTAAAGTAAATTGTAAGGCAGACACCATACGAATACGATAGCGCAATAAGTAAAATGCAATTTGGCGAAAATGCAGAACAAGTGAGCATCAAGTAGGTGGTAAATCTAAATCATCGTTTGTTTGAATCAAAGAAGCTCTCTGTCAATGTAGAAGTCATATTTTTTGAAGCTGGTAGGTTTAATTTTTGCTTATATTAAATATTCGTTTGTTTCATTTGAAATAACTAATACGTAGGACAAAGAAATATATTGCTTTATTTCAACTTTAATTTATTTAGCTCAAGCTGCATTTCTCAAAAGGACGTTACAAATAATTTGTTTGGTCTAAAGAAATATGTGATTCATTTTTTAATATGTGGGTTTTTTTCAAATCACCCTTGTTTTCAGGTAACGTTATATTACTTTGGTTTTATGGAAGAAATATTTTGTTGAAATGAAGTATAATAGCTTGCTTTCAAGAAATTAGAAATTTATAACTCCAAACAAATGATACTGCATTACCAAATATCTCGTTATTTTTAATCCAACAAAAGTTTGCTTTCGTGTAAATAAAATTTGGTACATTCAAATATTAAACCACCAAACAAATTGATATCGTCAATTTAAACAAACAGTTTTCTCTGTGTAGTCCGAAGCCTAGTCATTTAGTGAAACGCGGAAAATTTGTACATGTGGGGTAATTTCCCTTCCCCCTTCTAGATCAATAAGGGATACCTAGGGAATGCAATACCGGGATCGCGGGATCCCGAAATACCGGGATCCCGCAGCCTTTTTGCGGGATTAATCCCGCACATAAATGGAGCGAGATCCCGCGGGATTTGCGGGACTGAGGAATTTGTTGACCAAGGGGACGACTCAGTTTACTTTGTTAATGAACGCATAACGGAAAAGTTATTTTTAAAATAATTGTTAAACTTTTTTCGTTAAAAATGTACTATGATTTTTGAGGCAATATTGTGATAATTAGCGATTTATTTTAATACGGAACCGCACAGAATTGCTTATTTGCCAATTTATTTAAAGTTTTGCGGGATCCCGCAAATACCGGGATCCCGCGGGATTAAACATCTCACAATCCCGCAAAATACCGGAAATGAGATTTTGCTGCGGATTGCCATTCCCTAGGGAATACCATTTATCGATCTCCACTGAGCGAAAAGTATTGTTTAAATTTAACAAATCAATTTGTTTAGGCCACATTTACTTATCGTTACCTACCGTTTTTAACTTTTAAGATCGTTTATTAAACAATAAGATAGACATTCTTTAATATATAGAAAATCATATAGTATCTGTCTGTATTTTAGATATTAATATACAGGCATAGTATTAAACAAATCACCTTTAGGATTACCGCTTCCAAGTCTAAAATGACATGATACTTTCTAACAATAAAGAATGCTCAACTTATTACTTTACACTTATAAAGTAGGTACTGCATACAGCGAAGTTGATGTGTTGACATCTTGTCTTATTTTTTATCTTGATTTCAAGCATACAGCGTAGTTACCTAATTGAATTAGTCATTAATTAGTGCGGCTACAGGGCTGATATTATAAAACAGTAACGTGCATTGTGAATGTGACTTTCATTTGTTTCTCGAAATCCAACAAATCACATCTGTGGTGTTTCAATTTTACGTTAGAAATATGGACTAATATGGAATCTAGTGAAAATGAGGCGGCGCGCGGGTTTAGCGCTATTTTCCGAAGTGTTTGTAGGTAAGTGAGTACCCATATTAGCCATATTAGTTTCTAAAGTAGTGTAGTAGTACTCTTTTGCATAAATTGATTAATAATAATTAATAATGATGGTACCTATGTCACCATTCCTACCAGAAAACACAAAATGAGCATAGCTTTAGCCATATAATACACAATGCCAAGCTATACCCATACTAGGAGCTCGTTTGCTATATTGTTTAAATTTTTTACTTTTTGGTTTGCCAAAAAAATTTGAAGTTTTGGTTGTTTTACTTGGGAAATAAATTTTGTTTTTGGTAATTAATGTTGTCTTGGAATATGAGTTCATTGAAAATTACATCCTCATTTTATTTTTAGAATTTGGAAAAAAAACACAATGGATGAAACCCATAGAATTTTATTAAAAGATCGCGTACCGAATTGAGCGCATCCCTTTTCGAAGTTGAGTCGTTTAAATTTAATGGAGTGAATTTCACAATTGGTTGCGCGTTGATACTTCTAGACCCAGAGGATGACGGTGAATTACCTGTATAGTTGGGATTGTAAAGTATATTTTCTACAGAAGATAAAGGTGTGTTTTTATTTTGTAATGTTATTACTGATATACTATACATCCTGATAGATATGGTTAGGTATATATTGAACACGTTCAACATACATACATAGTTTCCGTAGAGTAGGAAGTACACACAATTATAACACAAGACGAAAAAACAAAATATTAATTCGCAAACGCCATTATCAGTATTATAAAAAATCACCCTATTATATGGCCTCTAAATTGTATAATTTGCTACCCCAGGACCTGACAAACTGTGATATTAAACAATTTAAATCTCTCATCAAGACTGTTCTCCAGAAAAATGCTTTTTATTCGATTCAAGAGTTCATACACTTTTATACTTCTAGGCTATAGTTGATGTAACTGTGTTTGTCCAATTGTTATACATATTATTGTTTGTTAATTTTGACTTATCGATGATTGTAATGACGATCGAACGATTAAATTATTATTATTATTATTATTATTATACATTTGGTTGCTGGTGAGCAATATGTGTTAAATATCTTTAAAATAAAATAAATGATTATTTTTCTTTTTATTATTAGTAAAATTAACAAGTAGTTAAGTAGTTTATTAACGCAGTTACGTATTTTTAGCACATTTAAGATTATCTACAGGATCTTTTAAAATAAACAGTTATTGATTTGGATTCTTTGTTGTTAATATTATTTAATTTACATCCCGTTTAATCCTATCAAATAGTTATTGAAAGTTAATAAATATTTTGTACCCATCAAGGGCATAATTCTTAAATCACTTTGTGATTAGTAAAGAAATTGTGGTAAGTATCATTTATACCGGAATTAATACAAAACGTTTCTTAATAATAAAATTCCATTAGATCTATATTATCAACATATTCCATTATCATTATTAAACAAAATTTAATACCAATTTTGCCTTCTTTAATAGCTAGTAAATATCAAATTTATAGTTATTATACCACATTACTATCAAACAGTTTGAGGCTTAGGGTATAACAATTATATGTTAACAGTTAAAGAATAGCATTATCTTCAAACAAATATGTAGGATTAATTTCAATCATTTATTGCTTATGGTAAAAATACTATTTCTAGGTGTTAAGTTATCTTTATTCACCATAATTGAGTAAACCATTTGGTAACAAAAACATTTTATTTGTTTGTTGACATTTGAACTTAATATTTGTTAACTCAAAATAAAATTTGTTTACTGTAACCAAACTTTTTTCTCAGTGTAAAAGGCTCTCAAATTTTGTAGAATGCCTTTGGAGCCTGGTAAAGGTTTCTTTACAGTTATTAAATTAAATTAAAACCTCGAGGCGTAGCCGAGTGGTTTTAGTAATATCAATAACGTTCGTATCATTCAAAATTTAATCTACGACGCCAACGGCCCAAATAGATTTTTTTCCCATTTTGATTTGCCAATTTTGACGTTCGCGATAGGAAATAGTATATTATCATTAGTGGGTATACTTTTATGAATTCATAATAACATCCAACTGGCCATGCTAAATCTGTGATAATGACTTCAACCCTTAAAATCTCATAGTTGTGAATACAATTTGTTTTAGTTGCTTCGACTTGTAAGGATAAATTGGGCTTCCTAAAGTGACATTGTAACTGATCCGTAAAGGTTTCATGAAAAAAAGGCAGAAACGTTAACTGGGCGCAATAGTTCTAGTCACGTTAAACTCTGTCATAAATTGAAATCGTTCGTGAAACTAATTCTCTTAATTTTCTCATTTGTCTTCATCCGAACGTTAACTCGAAAATTTGCATTCAACTTCTGCAAGGGGGGTATTAATTAAAAAGATCCGTCAGTTCGTGCGCCACGCCACAATTTCAGGTATGCACACGTTAAATTAATGTTCAATAACACACGTTCAAATGACGTATAAAC